GACTCATTACCCTCTATGGCTGCATGGACGTGCTTGGCCCCGGCCCTATCTCTTGCCCTTCGGCGGACACCGAAGGCATTGCCAGAGAGGACGGTCCTGGAGAGGGAGGCCTTGCCAACTCCTCCCCTTCACTCTCGGAGTCCTCTCCTGACGATGACACAGGCTCCAGTAACGGAGCCACAACATGATTAAGCAGGAGACCCTAAACCCATGATGGGGAACCCTATGGTACACGTGCCAGAAGTGGCACACAGAACCATCTCTCCGGGCACGCCAGCCATCACCATTTGTTCTTCCGGTTTCCAGCGCACGCATGCACACCAGTCAGTTGGTCTTGGCATGCACATGCATGCCAAAACCCAGAAGACCAGGTGACCAGCACGCATGCGCCTGCAGGAAACCGGAAGTTCAGATTCCCGGCCCGTACATGTGCGCCAGGGAACTGTTCTTCCGGTTTTCGGCGCTCCCCCACGTGCTCCCGTTTCGGCACTCGGTACCAAAAAGGTACCGAGTGCCGAAACTTGCTCTTAAAGGATGCAGTGGCTCAGTGGCTAAGATGCTGAGCTTGTCAGTCGAAAGGTTGGCAGTTCAGCGGTTCGAATCCCTAGTGCCACATAACGGGATGAGCTCCCATTGCTTGTCCCAGCTTCTGCCAACCTAGCGGTTCGAAAGCAGGTAAAAAATGCAGATAGAAAAATAAGGACCACCTTTGGTGGGAAGGTAACAGCGTTCCGTGCGCCTTTGGCATTGAGTCATGCCGGCCACATGACCACAGAGATGTCTTCGGACAGTGCTGGGTCTTCGGCTTAGAAACAGAGATGAGCACCGCCCCCTAGAGTCGGGAACGACTAGCACACATAGGCAAGGGGAACATTTATTTTTGCTCTTATAATTGTTGATTAATTTAAAAGAAATTGACCATGACAATAAAATCTAAATAAAGTAATGCTTTGCCCCCCCCCAAAAAAACCCCTAGCCTTTCTTCCTTTCCCTCTTCCCACCCCCGTCTGTGTCACAACTGATGTTCAGTTTGGGAAACTTGTCTTTCCTGCAAGTGTGTTTGTGAGCAGAACACATCCGTTGCTATGTTTTGCACGCTGACAAGGCCAGGAAAAGTTATGCTGTTCTAGGAAATTAGAAGTGGTGGGCTTCTTTGGGCTGCCTCTTGGCTTCCCTTCCCATGGAAGCCTTTCCACACACGTGGCTTTCCAGATTACCGCATGTGCAGCTTGCACGGAGAATGACACAAGGAGCAGCTCTGTGGGGATTGGTGGAGTTTCAGCTCACATTTTTGATTCTCTCGCCTTAAATGCCTCCCTGCTGATTTGGGAAAGGAGCAATGCAGTTTTGACAGCCAGTCCCAAACGTCAGTCAACTTGTTGGCTGAGCTAGAGGGTCGACAAAGAACCGTCTGCTAAATTGCTTTCTGTACAAGTGGAAGCAGAGAACAGATTCTGCTGGTTTTTTTGTTTGCGTTAAGTACGGTTAAAAAAACCAGACGTGCAGTAATGGAAATACTCATTGTGACAGACGGGGGTGGTGGTATTTGGAGAAGGGGAAATCTTTACCATAAACAGAGGCTGTGTTACTCTCCCCGCACAAGATCTGGCATTTCGCTCTTCTTCTATAGAAAGCGTGACTCACAGGAAAACAGACAAGAATGGACAAAGAGTTCCAGACGCCGGTTAAAGATGTTTGCAGAGAGAGCAGGGGTTAAAAAGGGCAGCATCCAGTTTGCCCTTCTCAAAGCTATCTCGCCTCCCAGCCAGGTGCAATAACAGCTTTTGGCTTATTGTATGTTGAATGGACCAAAAGGAAACACGGTCGTTGCATCATTTTTTTGATTAGCGGGGGTGCGGGGGGAGAGAAAATGCCTTTTCAAAAATGGATAAATGACACATCTACTGAAGGTCCCGTATTTTTCAGACTATAAGACGCACCGGAGTGTAAGACGCATCTTAGTTTTTGGGGAGGAAAATAAGAAAACAGCTGACTGGCGGGTGGATCGGCCTCCCGGAATATCCCCAATCAGCTGTTCCCAGAGGTGAATTTTAGCAACAGGTTCGTTGGTTGTGAGCTCTGTGCCTTGCTTTTTTTCCTGCCTCTGAAATCTCCGTTTCAGAGGCTTTTTTTCTGAAGCTCCGTTTCAGAGGCTTTTTTCTGAAGCTCCATTTCAGAGGCTTTTTTTCTGAAGCTCCGTTTCAGAGGCTTTTTTTCTAAAGCTCAGCCTCTGAAGCCTTTGTTTCAGAGGCTGGGTGGGGCTACATTCAGAGTATAAGACGCACCTAGATTTTCATCCTCTTTTTTGGGGGGGAAAGGTGCGTCTTATACTCCGAAAAATACGGTAATCCTTAATGTCCGGAATAATGTCTTCCAATTTCTCAAAATAATTCTCTTAGCCATCTGCCACACCTGATACAGTCAAAGCTCATGCTGCATTTAGCATAAAAATAAACATGCAGGAGTTGCAGTTTTCTCTTTCTCTTTCTATAGGGGATAGGGGCAGGTGGAAGAAATTATTCTGCATTTCATCCAGCAGATGAAAAGATAGTATTTCTTTCTAAGATGAATTGCATTTGAGCTGTAGTGACGCAGTGGTTAGAATGCAGTATTGCAGGCTAACTCACTTCTCACTGCCAGCAGTTCGATTCTGACTGGCTCAAAGTTGACTCAGCCTTCTATCCTTTCGAGGTCAGTAAAATGAGGACCCAGATTTTTGGGGGCAATAGGCTGACTTTGTAAACTGCTTAGAGGGGGCTGTAAAGCACTATGAAGTGGCATATAAGTCTAAGTGTTATTGCTATCTTCCTTCCTTCCTTCCTTCCTTCCTTCCTTCCTTCCTTCCTTCCTTCCTTCCTTCCTTCCTTTTAAGTCTAAATGCTATTGCTATTTGTCAGAGAAATCTAGCAGTTCAAGGTGTTAGATTCTGGGCCACAGCTGTTGGTTTGTCATTGCTTGCTGCAAAAGATGGTAATGGCAGATAATGGTGATACAAGTCATCGTCAACGTACGACCACAATTGAGCCCAAAATTTCTGTTGCTAAACGAGACAGTTGCTAAGTGTGTTTTGCCCCATTTTATGACCTTTCATGCCAGAGTTGTTAAGTGGATCACTGCAGTTGCTAAGTTAGTAACAGGACTCTTAAGTGAATCTGGCTTCTTCCTCCTTGGCTTTGCTTGTCAGAAGGTCGCAAAAGGTGATTGCATGACCCCAGGACACTGCGACAGTCATAAATATGAGTCAGTTGCTAAGCGTCTGACCTCTGATCACATGACTATGGGGTTGCTACAATGGTCGTATGTGTGAAAAATGCAAGTCAATTTTCCCCCAGTGCCGTTGTAACTTCAAACCATCACTCAATGAACTGTTGTAAGTACCTGTAATGGAAAACTCAGTGGAAGCATGTGAAAGTCAACCATAAGCTGCTACCAAACATCATTTCTGATTTCCACCTCATCCCTATATCGATTCCTGATTCTGTTTAGCAAATCCATTAGATTTGAAGGCAATTATTTGTTCCTTTGTTTGTTTATTAAACACAGTTACCGTATTTTTCGGAGTATAAGAAGCTCTGGAGTATAAGACGCACATTAGTTTTTAGGGGAGGAAAACAAGAGAAAAAGATCTGCCTCTGTCTCCCAGCATCCATCGGTATTCATCAGGCTAGCGTCCTTGCAGCAAACAGCAAACAGCTTCAGCACGTTATCGCAGCCTGATTCAGCAGGAGCAGCTGATTGGCGGTTGGATCGGCCTCCTGGAATACTGCCAATCAGCCGTTCCAGGCTGTAGAGATCGCCACAGCCCATTGCCGCCTCAGCGCATCGCGTTTTCAGCCTCTGTGCATCGCATTTTTGGCTGGTCCCAGGTGGTGGGGATTGTCGTCACCACTGCCACCGATCCCCGCCACCTGGAACCGGCCAAAAATGCAATGCACAGAGGCCAAAAATGGGGCATGCAGAGGCCGAAAAACATGATGCACATGGGTGGCAATCGGCAGCGATGTGCTGTGGTGATCCCTGCAGCCTGGAACAGGTCTAAAATAGAGCATGCGGGGGCCAAAAACGTGACGTGCAGAGGCTGAAAGCGGCCGATGGGTGGAGGCCAGTGGGTGGGCAGGGCTTCAGCAACATTCAGTGTATAAGACACACCGCAATTTTCACCCACTTTTTTTGGGAGGGGATGCATTTTATACTCCAAAAAGTATGGTATATAGCTACCCAACTCACACCTAGGTGACTCTGGGTAGCTTACAGCATTTAAGGAATACATTCTACAATTGAAAAGGAATCATTTTGCTACACTTCTCCAAATCAGTTTGGAAGCCTCCAATCTGATCTGGACAATCAAATCCACCTCGTCTTATCATTTGGTTTGGAATCCATTTGGGTTTCTATCAACTCTCCTTTCAATTGAATCTCCAAAGTGAATGTTCATACACCCCTAAGCATCTAGCAATAGCAATAGCACTTAGATTTATATACAGTACCACTTCACCATGCTTTATAGTCCTCTCTAAGTGGTTTACAGAGTCAGCATATTGCCCCCAACAATCTGGGTCCTCAGTTTACCGACCTCAGAAGGATGGAAGGATGAGTCAATGTTGAGCAAATCAGAATCAAACTCCTGTTAACCACTGTGCAACCAGAAAGAAGAATGAGAAAGGGAATAAGGGAGGGAGGGAGAAAGGAAGAAAGGAGGGAGGGAGGGAGGGAGGGAAGGAAGGATAGCAATAGCACTTGGACTTATATATATATACCATAGTGCTTTCCAGCCCTCTCTTAAGTGGTTTACAGAGTCAGCCTACGGCCCCCAACAATCTGGGTCCTCATTTGACCCACCTCGGAAGGATGGAAGGCTGAGTCAACCTTGAGCCTGGTGAGATTTGAACTGCCAAATTGCAGGCAGCCAGCAGCAGAAGTCGCCTGCAGTACTACACTCTAACCACTGTGCCACCGCGACTCTTATTTCTCAAGTATTTCCTTCATTTCTTTCCTTCCAGCAAACCGGCCAGCCTACCTTCCGATCTTTGATTGAACTTAAGACTTGTCTCCAAAGAGAACTTCACATCCTCAATGGCAAAGTTCTCAAACTGCCATCCGATCGTTTTCTTCTTCTTTGTGTGCCTGGACCACCTGATCCTTGCCCAGGATCAACGGGATTCCCAACCCAGCACTGAGCCTTCTATTCAGGTCCGGTTGGCAGGAGACAAGAGGAAGCACAACGAAGGGCGAGCGGAAGTCTACTATAACAACCAGTGGGGCACCATTTGTGATGATGATTTCTCCATCCACTCAGCCAATGTGTTCTGCAGGCAACTGGGCTATGTGGAAGCCACATCCTGGTACCCTGGCTCCAAATTTGGCAAAGGAGAAGGTGAGATGCTGAACAATTATTTGGTTTGATTTGGTTTGGTTTGGTTTGGTTTGGCTTGGCTTGGCTTGGCTTGGCTTGGCTTGGCTTGGCTTGGCTTGGCTTGGTTTGGCTTGGCTTGGTTTTCTGATCCCTACTAGCAAGCATCAGCCAGAGAAAAGGGGGCTGTTAATATTTGGTGGCATTAGCAATGAAATCCAGCTGGATCTATCCGGCTCGTGTGAACCAGTAGTGCCAGTGGCAGGAGGCTCCGCCCACCCGCCGGGACATCATTGCGTCCCTTTTTTTACCCTCTTTTTTTAAAAAAAATTAATTTTATTTTCATTCAAACATCATCTTAATTCAAACATCATCACCCAGCAATAAAACCCAGTTAATAGAAGCCATCCTTCAATCTTGGTTTCACATTATAACAGCTGCAGAACTAAAAGACTTGGTTCACTCCATGGGAAGACGTTGTAAGGCCATAATTCATGCTAAAGGTTACCCCCAACTAACTATTAACTGACATGGTGATAATTTTTGAATATCTCGTTTTTTCTATGGTGATAATTTTTGTATATCTCATTTCACTTTTCTTCTTTATAACTGCTATTCTAATAGCAAATCCTTCATAAAAGTGATTGCATGACATTCTTGATTAAATTATCTTTCCATGGGTATATAATTTTATGGTACTGCTCCAAAAAAAAGTGGTGTTATTAGCTAGTTTTAGAAAATACACTTTTCCCAAAAGGTTTCCACAATTTTGGCCACTACTGTAGTTGGCTGCAGAGCTCAATCTTATGAAATTCTTTCTGCTCTACAAAGTGGAGACTGGGACCTCTTAAACGAGACCTTTGCTCTTCTTTCTCTGTAGGCCCCATCTGGTTGGACAACCTCTACTGCACCGGCAGAGAGTCATCGATAGCTCAGTGTACCTCCAACGGATGGGGTGTGTCAGACTGCAAACACACCGAGGACGTGAGTGTGGTCTGCAGTGAAAAGAGGATCCCGGGCTTCAAGTTTGAGGACCCTCTGCTCAATCAAATAGAGGTAAGCAAAGTTGGGAGTAATTTATTTATTTATTTATTTATTTATTTATTTATTTATTTATTTATTTATATATATTTGAATTTATATACCGCCCTTCTCCCCCTAGGGACTCAGGGCGGTGAACAGCCGAAATTAAAATACATACAATATAAAAGTTAAGATAGATAAAATAAATTAAATCAATCGGCCCCCAATTTAAAACCCCAAAGCTATGCAATTAAAAACTTAACCCGTAAAAAACCTAATTAGGCTAAGCCGGCTTGCTGAAATAAAAACGTCTTCAGGGCCTTACGGAAAGTGCGGAGATCCGGGATCAGTCATATTCCGGGAGGAAGCTCATTCCAGAGGGCGGGTGCCCCCACAAAGAAGGCTCTTCCCCTGGGGGCCGCTAGCCGACATTGCTTGACCGATGGCACCCTGAGGAGGCCCTCTCTGTGAGAGCGTATTGGCCGGTGGGAGGTTATCGGTAGCAGAAGGCGGTCTCGTAAATACCCTGGCCCTAAGCCATGGAGCACTTTAAAGGTGAGAACCAACATCTTGAAGTGCACCCGGAAGACCACCGGGAGCCAGTGCAGCTCGCGCAGGAGAGGTGTTATATGGGAGCGCCATGTCACTCCCGTAATCACCCGCGCGGCCGCATTCTGGACCAGTTGGAGCCTCCGGGTGCTCCTCAAGGGGGCCCCCATGTAGAGAGCGTTACAGTAGTAATGAGAGTTTAGCACCTTTGTTGAAACCTGCAATTTCTCCATTCAGTGCAATTGGCCAATTCCGGCAGCTGCATTGAGGTAAACAGCTTTTCAGTACCTTTATTGAGACTGCCTATCTTTTGCACAAAAAAACTTGAATCTCACTCCAAGGAAATTTGATCCCTGGTGAGTACCTACAGTATATCACAGAAGTGAGTACACCCCCTCACATTTTGTAAATATTTAAGTATATCTTTTCCTGTGACAACACTGAAGAAATGACACTTGGCTACAATCTAAAGTAGTGAATATACAGCTTGTATAACAGTGTAAATGTCTCGACATTATCACTTAGGGGTGTACTCACTTTTGTTGCCACCTGTTTATTGTTTATTTATTTATTTATTTTATTAGTCATATTTCTATGCCGCCCACTCTCCGAGGACTCTGGGCGGCTTACACCAAAGACAGTATACTAAATAGCATATTGCCCCCTAACAATCTGGGTCCTCATTTTACCCACCTCGGAAGGACGGAAGGCTGAGTCAACCTTGAGCCGGTGAGATTTGATCCGCTGATCTGCTGAACTAGCAGTCAGCTGAAGTAGCTGCAGTACTGCACTCTAACCACTGCGCCACCTCGGCTCCTTCATGAATGGCTGTGTGTTGTGTTATTTTGAGGGGACAGCACATTTACACTGTTATACAAGCTGTAGACTCACTACTTTACGTTGTAGCCAAGTGTCATTTCTTCAGTGTTGTCACATGAAAAGATATACTTAAATATTTACAAAATGTGAGGGGGTGTACTCACTTCTGTGATATACTGTAGATACATCCATGGAGTTTTCTTGGGTTAGAGTAGGGGTGTCAAACTCAAAACCGGCGGGCTGGATCTGGCCCATGGGGTGCTTAGATCTGGCCAACGGGACCGCCCTGGAAACAGCAAAGGACCAGCCCGCGATGCCTCTGCCAGCGAAAACGGAGTTCGGGAGGGCCGCATCGGGAGGGCTGCGAGCTCCGTTTTCATCTGCAATGGCCTCTTGCAACTCTCTGCCAGCGAAAACAGAACTCGGGAAGGCAGCACGGCTCTCCCAAGCTTCATTTTTGCTGGCAGAGCGCTTGGGCCGCCACAGGCGCCCCCCAACATGAGTGACGTCAAGCTGGCCACACCCACCCTGGCCACACCCACCCTAGCCACACACCCCAGCTCCCCCGAAGTCAAACACAACCCTGACGTGGCCCTCAATGAAATTGAGTTTGATACCCCTGGGTTAGAGAATCAGGAACCTGCCCTTGATGGAGATGCTGTACATGTGCCTCATTTTACTGTTTTGATTCTGCTTAGCTTTTCAAGATCAGTTATAGATAACTAGATAGTTCACCTGCGTCCTGCCACTGAAACTAACCACCTGGCCAAGAGAAATATGTGTGGAAGCACAAATAAACACCGAGAAGAGCATTTGCTAAATGTAAAATAAGCGAAGGACAGAAATACAAAGATGCTTCAATTTTATGTTCTGTTTTTATTGTATTTTACTATATTCTATTTTGATCACCTTAAAGTCCGACCAAGAAAATTAGCAGGTAACAAAATAAAAGAGCTAAAGAGACAAGAAAAAAAAAAGAGAGCAGGCGACATAATAAAGATCTCCAATCTGAATAAACAATTAAGAGCTAAACCCTAACTTTGGATGTCTTCCAAGTCTTATAATTCATAAATGCGGTCCTGGTTAAATTAAATTTGGTACCTTGTGGACTTGTGTTTTAGAGAATTTACAGTAATTTTTAAAGAATTAATTTTTGACACTGATACTTACTCCTGTCACTTAATCCACATCTTCTGTGATCTGAGGTTTGATGGATGTAATGCAATGTCAAAGATATGGACTGGTGTGGACTCTCTGTCGTCCACCTTCCTTAGAGGGATCGAATTTCTCCATACAGGAATTCTTGAAATCATTGCCATTTTCTAAAGCAGATAAGTAGGATTAGCTCCTTCGATCGGACAACAGAAAAAGCCCAGCTTCTTTTTACGACAGCCCTGAAATAATCATGGAAGAATGCAGAATATGTTGGGGGGGGGGGGTAAATAGAGAATTGCACTGTATCCCTTCTGTGGAAGTTTGCCAAGTATTCAAAAAGGACCTTCTTACTTTTCTTGGGGATCCTAGCATTGCAATGTTGAATCTTATATGCAGGGGTGGAATTCACTTACTTTCCTTACTGGTTTGCAAATGTGAGCGCACGCCAGGGGTGAAATCCAAAATTTTTCCCTACCGGTTCTGTGGGCATGGCTTGGTGGGCATGGCAGGGAAGGGATACTGCAAAATCTCCATTCCTACCCCACTCTGGGGCCAGCCAGAGATGGCATTTGCCGGTTCTCCGAACTATTCAAAATTTCCGCTACCGGTTCTTCAGAACCTGTTAGAACCTGCTGGATTTCACCCCTGGCCCATGCACCCCATCCACACATGTGCCCGGCACTTTGCTGCTGTGCGCGCACCTTCTGTGCATACGCCCAGCCTCAAAAATGTGCCTAAATAGCATGTCTTGGAGCCGGGGTCGGTGGGCTCAGCTCGCCTGCCTGGCTGCGGCATAGCAGCTGCTGTTTTCTGGCTCCTCCTCGTTCCGTTTTGCCGGCTGCTCCATTGCCCGTTTCCCCATTGCAGCGCAGTGCCCAGGATCCATTTTGATAGTGGGGGAGGGGGGATTTAACAACTGGTTCGCCCAGGATCAGGTTGAGCCATGCCTCCCACAACAGCCAACCTAACCCTGGGTGAACCGGTTGTTAAATGATTTAAATCCCACCAATGGTCCAGTCCCTTCTTAAAAACCTCCAGTGATGGAGCACTTACAACTCCAGAAGACAAGCTGTTCCACCGATTAATCGTTCTCACTGTTAGGAAATTTCTCCTTACTTCTAGATTTATTTATTAGTTGCATTTTTATGCCGCCCAACTCCCGAGGGACTCTGGGCGGCTAACAACAGAGAATAAAACAATGCGAACAATATCCCATACAAAAGTTTAAAAAGAAAACATTAAAACCCATACACTCCAATTTCGTGGCTGGGTCTCGCAAGATCACCATAGCGAGATCAATGGCCCCAGGCTTGCCAGAAGAGCCAGTGTCAGCGTCTCACCGTTGGCATAGAAAGGAGAGAGATAAACCCTGAACTTTTGCCTGCTAAATCCCTTTGAAGCTGGGTCGTCACGGAAATGAACGGGGGGGGGACATTCCTGTGAAATGACGAGACAAGAAGTCAGTGGAGTGACTTGGAAGATAGCCAATGAGAAGCAGATAATTGGGGATCGGAAAGGGAGGGATTGGGGGCCAAAAGGTCAGTCTTGTCCGCATCGAGTCATGATCCGGTTGCTGTGCTCAAATAGAGAGAAGATTTCCTTAAAGATTGGCAGTTTGGAAATTCATTTATTTTGAGATAGCATCGAAGTCTGACAGCCAGGTCTTCACCACTTTCCAGAAGGCCAGTAGGGTGGGGGCAGTCTGGACCTCAGGGGGTAATTGGTTCCTGAGAGCCGGGGCAGCCACAGAGAAGGCCCTCCCCCGCGGGCCCGCCAGCCGACATTGTTTAGCTGGCGGGACCCGGAGGAGACCGACTCTGTGAGATCTTACCGGTCGCTGGGAGCTATGCGGTAGAAGGCAGTCTCGAAGATAACCTGGCCCTGAGCCATGTAGGGCTTGGATTTCTCCTTGATAGGTTTCCATCTGTTCAGCTCAGTTTAGCAGTATTCTTTCTGCTCAAAAAAGTACTATGTGTGAGTCAGGGGTGGGTTCTAAATTTTTTTACTACCGGTTCTGTGGGCGTGGCTTATTTTGTGGGTGTGGCTTGGAGGTCATGTGACTAGATAGGCGTGGCTAGCTGGTCAGAGTCATTTCTGGAAGGTCCTCCCACTTACGACCAGTCCTCGCACTTACGACCCGACTCATTTGTTTGCTTTTAACACTGATCAGCTGTAGGACGGCCCTTTGAAGCCCCGCGGCAAGAGTTTAAACAGTTTTTTTCCCTCTAGTCATCAGCTGGGACTCAGGAGGCAGCAATAGATTGGGGGTGGGACCAAATAAAAGGTAAGAATAACATGGGGGGGTGGGAGGGCGGGGTGGGAGAACCGGTTCGGTGACGTCATATCGTCACCGCTACTGGCTCGGCCGAACCGGACCGAACCGGGAGGAACCCACCACTGGTGTGGGTTTACAGGAAAAAAAAATAACCACTCCAGATATGTGCTACTGTCTATGTTCTGAGTTTCCAACATGCATCTTTTGAGATCTGGCATTTAAAAAAAAAACAAAC